CACATGTTGGCGGGCCGACCCGGCCTGAACCACCCGGATTGACACCTCTAACCTAACCAATCCTGAGTGACACTCCGTAGTTGGAAAGTTTTGGAAAAAAAAACAGTTTTTCATTCAGTATTTTTTTTGCCTAAACACTTTCTTGTCAACAAGGGTGACAAAAAGTGATGCATAAACGAAGAAATCCTAAATCAACCTAACCAATCCCTGAAGAGCCAATTTTATCCATCTTTGTCCGACCCTTTCCGCCACTGAGGAGCTCATATTGCAAGTCTGTCCAACTATTATTAATTAATGACACTGCCATTCATGATTGGGATTTCCTTTGTAGCGCCAGATATTTTGCTAACCAGTGTAGGATTTATCTGACTGAAGAGGTAAAATTATCTCCAAAAAAAGTCCTCTAATTTAACTACGAGGACCGATAACTCAAAGCAATATGTCTTAACAAAGGAAACAAGTTGCATAGCCACATATTTTTTGTAAATGCTATCTAACATTTAATCATGAGAAGTGCTACATGTATATAAATCTATACATAATAGTGTTCATAATTACACGTGGCACTTGATCCAGTCATTAATTCAAATATCATACTTTTACATCAATATTAGAATTTTGTCCACATCACATTATGGACACTATTATGTACATATATTTTGTACATGTAGACTTTTCCTTTAATCATTTTCATAGTTAGCACATCTCGTCCCTAGTGTTCTTTTTTGTCCAAAAAATTTGTTTGTGCTCTTTAAAATGAGGAACATTTATTTAATCACTTTTTTTTTCTTTTGTTTATCAAACAAATAAGTTTTTCTATTCCACATGAATGAAATTTTTAGATGAAAAATCGTCGAAAGAGTGAAGATATTCTAACTATTGAAAAATTTATATGATGAGAAGTCGTTGATGACTAAAGTATGACCAAATGTTATGGACTGTTCATGAAATTAAATGTATGTGCTGCACTATGTCTAGTCGTTCAAATTAGACCGAATATATATTTCGAATAATTTTACCTATTTAACCGAACATCATTGTTTAGCGTGGCTATTTAACGATTAAATATGCATTTTTAGCTAGGTTGGATGAGTGCTATGAAAAGGAAGTTCGGGATCATGATTGTCACACTCACAAAAAGTTGAGAGCCCTAGATGAGATAGACTTTGTAAGACCAAACTCCATTTCAAACATTCCTCTACGCCAAGTTAACACCTCGGACCGTGGGGCTAGTTATTTCATCCCAGGGCTTGGTTGCTAACACATCACCTTAGGCAGTTGGGTCGAGCCTTATGGGATCGTGGGTTAAACGCAAAATCAGTCCATAATACTTTTGCACACATTTTTATACAAGCAGATTTTCNAAATCAGGTGATAATTTCACATTTTATTATTAATAATAATATCATAAAATTAAATAAATCTATATATGAAAAGTGCTACATGTACATAAATGTATACATAATGGTGTCCATAATTACACGTGGCACTTGATCCAGTAATTAATTTAAATATCATACTTTCACATCAACATCAAGATTTTGTTCACATCACATTATGGACATTATTATGTACATATATTATGTACATGTAGACTTTTCCTTTAATCATTTTCATAGTTAGAACATCTCGTCCCTAGTGTTCTTTTTTGTCCAAAAAATTTGTTTGTGCTCTTTAAAATGAGGAACATTTATTTAATTGCATTTTTTATTTTTATTTTTCTTTTGTTTATCAGACAAATAAGTTTTTTTATTCCACATGAATGAAATTTTTAGATGAAAAATCGTCGAAAGAGTGAAGATATTCTAACTAATGAAAAATTTATATGATGAGAAGTCGTTGATGACTAAAGTATGACCAAATGTTATGGACTAACCGAACATCATTGTTTAGCTTGGCTATTTAACGATTAAATATGCATTTTTAGCTAGGTTGGATGAGTGCTATGAAAAGGAAGTTTGGGATCATGATTGTCACATTAACAAAAAGTTGAGAGCCCTAGATGAGATAGACCTTGTAAGACCAAACTCCATTTCAAACATTCCTCTACGTCAAGTTAACACCTCGGACCGTGGGGCTAGTTATTTCATCCCAGGGCTTGGTTGCTAACACATCGCCTTAGGCAGTTGGGTCGAGCCTTATGGGATCGTGGGTTAAACGCAAAATCAGTCCATAATACTTTTGCGCACATTTTTATACAAGCAGATTTTCTTAAAATGGAAATAGAACAAGAAGCCCATATTAAAGTACGATAACTAATATGCAACGTTTTCTAGTCTAAGGACCAATTTGAAACAAATACCAAAGTTCATCAACTAATAAGCCACTATTTTCCAGTTGAGCTCACTTTCTCTCACACGCACACACGCAATGGCAGAGGAATCTCAACACAGCACCACTCCACTCCTCCATCGCCGTAGCCGACCGGGATGGCTCCGCCGTCTTACCACTTCTCTCCGATTGAAGACCTCCATATGGTCCGAACTGAGCGGATCCGTCGGGGACCTGGGCACCTACATCCCCATAGTATTAGCCCTCACCTTAGTATCCCACCTTGACCTCTCCACCACCCTCATCTTCACTGCCCTCTACAACATAGCAACCGGCATCCTCTTTGGCACCCCGATGCCTGTCCAGCCCATGAAGTCCATCGCCGCCGTGGCCGTATCGGAAACGCCTCACCTCACTGTCTCCCAGATAGCCGCCGCCGGCATATGTACCGCAGGGACCCTCCTTTTCCTCGGCGTCACTGGGTTAATGTCTTTCTTCTACCGCTTCATCCCCCTCCCTGTCGTTCGTGGGGTTCAGCTCTCTCAGGGCCTTTCCTTTGCCTTCTCTGCAATCAAGTACATCCGCTATAATCAAGACTTCACGAAAACCACCTCCACCAAGACCACCGATCCCCGCCCCTGGATCGGCCTCGACGGCCTAATTCTTGCCTTCGCTTGCCTTCTCTTCCTCGTATTCACCACCGGCGATGGTGGTAGAAGGAATTTAGTTGAAACTGATGTAATAGGAAGCAGTCGGACGATTGCAACAAGCCAACGTAGAGTTGAGAAAAGATTAAGAATATTGTCAGCAGTGCCATCTGCTCTTATAGTGTTTGTACTAGGTTTAGTCTTATGTTTTCTACGTGATCCATCGATTGTTAATGACATAAAGTTTGGCCCTTCAAGATTTCATGTGTTGAAAATCACATGGGATGATTTTAAGGTTGGTTTTATACGAGGTGCAGTACCTCAAATTCCACTATCAGTACTGAATTCAGTCATTGCTGTTTGCAAACTGTCGGGGGATCTTTTTCCTGGTACGGAGTTGTCTGCAACTACAGTCTCTGTGAGTGTTGGAGTGATGAATTTAGTGGGCTGCTGGTTCGGGGCAATGCCAGTCTGCCATGGGGCAGGAGGGCTTGCCGGGCAGTATCGATTTGGGGGAAGGAGTGGTTTATCAGTAGTGTTTCTAGGATTGGGGAAACTGATGCTAGGCTTGGTGTTTGGGAACTCTTTTGTGAGGATTTTAAGTGCATTCCCAATTGGGATTCTTGGGGTGTTATTGTTGTTTGCTGGAATAGAATTGGCCATGGCATCGAGGGATATGAACTCAAAAGAAGAGTCTTTCGTGATGTTGGTTTGTGCTGCTGTGTCAATGACAGGGTCTAGTGCTGCATTGGGATTTATATGTGGGATCGTGCTGTATTTACTGCTGAAATTAAGGGAGCTGGATTGTTCTGGTTTCTCCTTCTCGAAATCAGTTTCCAAATCCAGCGTTGAAGATGAAACCGTTGTCAATCCATGAATGTTTCAGGGACAAAATTCATACCATTATTTTGCCCAGATTTTATCTTTGCTTGGTCTGTTTGTAATTGATTAGCTAATTAGTAGAAGTAAATTATTCAAAATAGGGACCTTGCGCTATCAGTCTTAAGGGGATAGACTGTTGTCAGCAATTTGCAGCTATTGGTGTTAATATTGTAATTGTTATTGGCAAATTATCTAATGTTATTGTACTGATGCAGAATAAAGAACAGTTTAAGTTACTATATTTGACTTGATATGGTTATAACATTTGGTAGAAGAAGTAAGGAGCTGCTGCTCCGATGCTTTGATCGATACTGACCTCAGGCATTTAATTTGGTTAACTATTCAGTAGTATATTGTGTTTAGAAGCAAATTTGAAAATTTGGTACAGAAGTTTTTCTGAGAAACAAGATTAAATACATTGGGATAGTGTAGAGCGTTTCCATGTTTCTATAGCAGGTCGAGATTGAATGACTACAGATAGATGTTTTTAAGAAGACAGGGAAGACATCACATCACTGCTTTAAATCGTTTCTAAAGTTCTTGAGCGATTTAGGAATATGCACAATACGAGAAAAATCTAATGCACTTCATATTGATGATAAAACTGAATGTAAGGTTTTTATATCTGCAGATTTGTAGCAAGAAAAAACTTCAACCTTCAATGAGACGGTAAATAGTTAGTCTTTGCACAATGAAATGTCGAAGCCTAAAGGCAAAATTCTCTTTTGTTTTTTTTCATGCAATAACTACTCTGGGATTCTGAGTGAAGTCTGAGGATACTAACTGGTTGAAACATACAGTAACCCGTGCAATTTCTGTTATACTGCAGGGGTTTTAAAATTTATGTTGCATCTTTCATGCTTCTGAACATTTTTGGTCTGTCTTTTCTTGTATGATTGGTTGCCAAATTAACAATGACTAGGTTTTTT